TATAAGAGGTTTGCAAGGAATACAGTCCCTTGCACTTCAGTTTTAAAATCAACTTTTTTTCCTTTTTTTTTTTTTTGAGTGAGCGAAGTAGTTTTCCCCAGGAGCAGCTACTTCTGCAGTGCTGTGGCATTACCTTTGAAGGATGCTGCTATGGCAAGGCCAGCCAAGTATGAGAAACATCCCCCGTATCCATCAGGAAAACTCCTCTAGTCAAGCATCTCCATGAGGGCAGCTTTCTATGTTGCTGCAGTCCACAGCAACAGAGGTGGAAGCTGAAAAGGTTGCTCAGAGAGAGGTGTCCTACCTTTGCAACTTGGCTGGCACCTCCCTACCTGCACCCTCCCACGATGGTGCCCAGGGCTGCAATCTCAGCAAAGTCCCTCAGCCAGGCCTCCCTCAGAGTCCCCCTCATGTCTTGCTGCTATCATGGCAATCCCAGCAATGGGGAAGAGACGTCCAGCTGAGAGGCAGCTGCTTGCTCCTGAAATCCTACCAAAAAAAACCCCAGTTTGACTTCCTGCCAACATAGCCCCCTTTACTCCACCATTCAGCTCAATCTCTTCCCATGACATAGGGTGATCTTAGGGAAATGCAGCCAGGGGTATTCTGAAGGGCCTCTAACCACTGACATTCCCATGGGAAAGGGAATTATTTGAGTTAATCTGAAATTCCCCTCGAAACTCATAGTCCTAGGTCCAAGCAAACTGTTGTAACAGAGTAAAACTGTGCAGGTTGGTATGTCCATACACGTATGTGGGAGTGGAGAAAATTGTCTTTCGCATCATTCTGACGTACATGAAGATCACTCTGCTGAAATCCCTGGAAATTCCCTTTGTTATAAAACCAGTAGAAGGCTCAGGCCCAGTGTTTCTGTGAACACACCCCTAAGGCAGCACAGCTCACCAGGACTCTAGTGCCAACCTTTTATTGTTCACTCTCTTTTCCATTCAGTCCAAATATAATCTGGAAATCTCAAATGCCAGTGATCTCAGGCGGAGAAGAGAGAAATCAAGGTTAGTCCTTCACTGTGTTTGTCTAAAGAAAACCTGCAAAGCATGAAAACGGGGAAAAGAAAATTTAAAAAAATCAATGAAAGGTCTATTTAGCGTCAAGTGAGGAACTTACCACAAACCAAAAGAAACAATTTTAGAAAATAACATGACGTAGTACCTCTTAAAATCATGATTAAAAAGAAAGCTACATTCCTATCTGCCCCAAGCTTTTCCCTTATTCACTGAATGCACCTAAGACAGATGCATTTCCCCTCCCTACCAACACTGGGCACAGGGGATGGATACTGTTTCTCAACAGACAACTTGCTGGTACCCTTTCACAGCCACTGCACCACTGGGATTCACTTGATGACCAGAAACCAAACTCAGACATCAGACCAAATCTTTATTCTGTGGTCTACCTTTTCTTGGTTACGTTGTTGTAAATCGAGTGTTTAAACTGATCCCAACCTGCTCAGAGGCCCTGGAGGGCTCTGGATTAATATAAAGCACAGGCGTCTGCCTCCTGCTGTTTCTGTTCCTGTGGTATCAATAGTGATTTCGAAAATTATTATTTCCATACAGGCTATAATGACTTAGAAGGAATAGTTACAGCCTGTTGTGCAAATGTGAACAACACTCGCTTTTTTAAAGCGTGGATTTTTCATACGACAGGGACTAATGGCCCTTTCAGAGCAGTTATGGTCTATCTTGTCAATTTGGTTTCTATTCATGCATGCTAAGTGAATTTTTATAGCCAAACTAGGAGTCCTTAAAAATGGGCCTTATACTGGAAATGCAGATGTGACTTACTGTGAGTTGTGCTAGGAGAGCATCCCGGCCCCTGGGGAGCCAGAGCCAGTAATCAGAATTCCCTTTCCCCATGCACATAACATGACTCGCAGGCACTCTTTCATCTGCACTGAGAGGCAGGAAGGAGAGGCAGAATTAGCCCCTAATTACAATAATGTTTCTCACACTTTCTCCAGCTACTCTCTGCAGGCATTAGTAGAGGGGGCCTGGCTGCCAGAATTGCTGAAAACCTACATCTCCAGTTAAAAGAAATCAGAGAGCAGGGTGCTCAGCAGCTCTGAAAAATCAGAGCCACAGAGCTTTAAACAAATGCTTTTATACCATTAAAAGTATAAATATATAGACTCACCTTAACTTTACTCTCTACTGTGAGTGCTTTGTTGTGAAAGAAAATTGTATGTTTTCCAGACTGTCTGATTTCTCTTAGGGCTTCACCACTATAAACTGCACTGCATATGTACATCAATATATTTACCTGCCTGCTTCACAGCTGGACAGAAAATGAAGCCGTCTCAATCATCTTCACATTCAGCAGTAGAGAAAACTGACTTTTTCCCTCACTCAATGCCAATTAAAATGCTAAATGTGGATAATCTGATCTCCACTATATATTCCAATCCCCTCTATAGCACAGAGTGGATATACCTCCATACTCACTGGCAACCTGAACCTTTTCTAAGACTGGAAAAAGCAAGAGAATAGAGACTGTACAATCTTATTACTTATTTATTCAGAATGTTGTAGCTGTGCCTCCCTTCATCTCTTGGCTCCTTACCCAAAACCTGTGTAATGAGCAACATCACAGGACCTGACTACCAGCAGACGCGACACCTCCACTGAAATGAATGCATTTATACTGATTTATGGCAGCCGAGGAGCTGCCACTGCACATCCAGGGAATACCTATCTCTCCAGAAAAAAAGATACACCACTGACAACGCGTTCCCGAGGTGTTTCTCACGGATCCCATGCCTAAGTGGAGTAGGATCCACCCTCATCCCAGCTTCTAATCCTGTCTCCATTGCTGCATCGAGTGCCTGACCACCTTGTCCTCATCATAGAGGCTCTCCTCTGAAAAGGCACGGAGCCAAACCTGGCATGAACCGATCAGATATGTACAAAGGAAAATCTTGACAGCATCTGTGAACAGAGTTTAAGAGAAAGGAACAAAATAATACCACATATGTTAACTGATTGAAATGGTAGCTATGGTGACCACGGACAGACAAAGAACAAACCATTTTGACTGAATTCAGCGAATTCTTTCTGGCAACAAGCTGCAAGTATAAAGCAAACTTTTAAAAATCCCTAATGAAATCATTGTAACAAATCCATTTAGCTCTGTTTGGTGTGTTTGCTTTTTAAATTTCCATTGCAGCTATTACATTAAACCTATTAATCATTGATGTAGTCAAATAATTTCCACTGACTAAAAATAGGGATTTCCTCATTGTAAAAATAAAAAAAAAATAAAAAATAAATAGATTGCATTTTCAAGAAAAAAAATTTTAAAAGCAAGGAATAGTTATTGTAAAATGGCAGGCATTCATAATTCAGAGCATTTTCTTGTACATGAGAGAGTGCCTGGGTTTTGTAGAATAAAGTCTTGTTTATAAAAGTTGGATTACTTTCCCTATCCTGATATGCAGTGTAGCTATGAAAAATGACTGTCCTGTTTATTGGTATCACAGTGTCAGACATCTCAGAGTCTGTTTCCTCCTGGATGCCCATTTTTTTCCAGCCCTTTGGAGAAGCTGTGTCTCGGTGCTCTCCCACTGAGGGCTGGCCAGTTGTGCCAAGGGGAACTGGGTTGAAAACAGTGTGGGGGAGCACAGAGCTGAGCTATCGAGGGGCAGAAAAGCTGCCTCCTTAGAACCAGCGCTGGAGATAGGCAGGAGATGGGGAGGATTACTCCAGTGCCAGCACAGCATAAAGCTGCTCAAAGTGCTGCACAGCTGCTTGCAAACTCCCACCCCAGGAGGCTTGCAGGGGCTGGAGGAGGCTCCGCAGGGAACGTCACAATGGAGACTCCAGCATGTCACCTGCTGTGGAGCATCCCAGGCACACCGTGGTGGACACCCCACTGCCTGCTCAGTTTTAGTCTGGAGACTGATTCAGAACAACCAAAACAGGTGATGCTACCCCTGCACCCCATCCCTTCACCCAGCTGCACTCCCTGGGTATGGTTTCACAGCACAACACAAAATCCTAATTCTAACCTGAAGTTAGAAGTCTTACTTGTAACCAGAAGAACTGCTGTCATTTTCCTGTCTTGTTAATATTTAACTCGGTATGTTTGGTCCCTTCTGTAGACTGTACAATTCCTAACAATATGGGTTTGCAATGTATCCGTGCTTTTGATGCTCCAGGAGCAGTAACTTCAGATTTCTGCAGCACACAGACACTCTCAACTCTACTCTCACATTATCTGCACAAGTTAATTGTTCTTTAAAGAACAAAACAAACCAAAAAAAGCAAACTAGCAAGAAGCGCCCACCATTCAAACGCCACTCTCTTTATCTGTCTGCTGACTGAGGCTCTGGCCCAGCCTTCTGTCAATTAAGTTCCCAGCTATGCCGTCGCGTGACAAAAGGCACTTCACTGGCTGGCTCTGCTCTTCAGTTCCCTGTACACTAAAACAGGACCAAGTTTAAGGCCTTTCACTTCTGCCTAGCATGGCCCTTCCTTGTATTCTCCACCCACACACTTCACTTTCATTCGTGCCAGCACAGAAGGCAGGTCCTCTGGGACTGTGCCTGACTCTGTGTGGGTCCCCGGTGAGCAGAGCTGAGCGAGGGTGAGCACATGTGCTCCCTGTCTTTTGTAAAGGGATAGCCAGAGGAATGAGTGTTCAGTCACACAGCCTCACCTGCTCAAGCTGTTTGCTTTAGCTGTGGCTCGAGTGTGGCAGGAGCACACGGAGCGGGAAGGGGGGGAAGAGGGGGAAAAATTAGTGCCTTTTCTTTCGGTATTGCCTGGAAACAGTAAAGAAACAGTTACTTTGATTTTATGTGCAGTAAACCCTCACTAGATGGCTCCTTACAGCAAGTAAATATATTCCCCACAGAAAGAACACTGATGTGGCATAATCTGTGTGAGAGCGGAGGTAGCGCGATGCTAACGGGGTTTTATCGCTGGCTGAGCATTTTTCATGGAAAAGCAGTGTCTAACGTGGGGTGTGTGGGTGAGTTATGACTTACGAATGGCATCACTCCACGAGTCATGAACTGTGAGTCACATGGGCACGGGTGTCTCAGGCACGTCAGAAATGCCACTTGCCCTTTTCTGTAGGGTTTTATGTTAATCCGTTTCACATTCAACTTTCTAATTCAGAAAGCAGAACTGGGTTGCAGTCAAGGGTACCAGCAGAGGAGATCCTGGGGGGGAAGCAGCGAAGGTAATAGCTGGTATTAAGGCAGAAACCCCAAATGTCATGTAATAACTCCTAAAACAAAGAAGCAATGATGGCTTCTGAAATGTCCCCCCCATTACCATCACAAGAACATGTTATTTATAATATGTGTATTGGCAGGATGTTCTGGGCAGAAGAGCAAAAAGAAATGAGCTGTCATCTGCAGTTAACCTCTCATTCATACATCACTTTGTGCACTCAGTGGTTCAAGGTTATGCAAGTTGATTGTGCCCTCATTAATGAGCAGTGTTAATTGGTGTCTATCCTGCTTTGAGATAAACATGTATATTATGTGTTGAAAGTACTGCAGGCTGTGAAGGAGCTGTATGATATACAAATGTGTATGGGCCCTGCATTAGGGAGCTACAGGGAGACGCTGTGTTGTGAAATGCTAGGACTGATTTAAATCCACCATTGATTTTGATCTGGGCAGCCCACATCCCTGTAAACCAGCCTGGCTCTGGCTCGAGGGCCAGGCAACTTCTGCTGGCAGAGCTCTGACACCATCTCTTGGCTCCCTGCTCTGGCTCTGGTTGCACCCCCGAGCACTCTGCCTACAGCCCACTTTTCAAGGTGAATTAGCAGTGATTTTAGTTTCTCTTAAACCCCCAGGCTGTAAGCTCTGACCATCACAGCTCGAAGATGATTTAGCTGCCATGGGGTTGGGGCAAGCAGACACAGTGGAAGATCTTATCCATCCCCATATAAACTGCTCCTGGTCAGGAGGCAGTGGCAAGGGAGCTAGGTTGGCTGCTGGTCTGTCTGTCAACAGCCCCAAGAGCTTTATCCAGTCTCTTTTCTCTCACTTTTCCCTCTGCACACGTGCTGGCATGGTGCTAACTTGGAATGAGCTCAAGTATACATACTCAAGAGTCTCACCTCTCTTCGTGAGGGACAGAAAACAAGGTTTGACATGGTGGCAAACTTGAACATCGTGAAAAGACCTTTTATTCTTTCCCTGAGAGCTGCTGAAAATGAGCACAGATAAATACCCTGAACCAGGTCATAACCAACACACAACATTGATGCAAATATGTGGATTAGAGAATTATGACAATTATGTTAAATAACCTACTGGAATACTTTAAATGCTCAAAAGAAGAGAGTCACATGTCTCATAAACAAGCACAAGCTATGCCAGACCAATGCAAGAATATACTAATAAAAGTGATATTTGATCATCTAATTAATGGAGCTGTTATCTCCCCATACCAAAGAGGGACTTAGAGCTTTTAGGCTGTTAAACATTTTGTCTCAATGTTTAAAAGCAAGTAGCACCCAACAGACCTTTCCTTTTCTCAGTAGCATTCCCTTGAAATGTGGTTGTTTACTTCAGACCTTGAAGGTTGGATTAACAGCAGAGATTGTTTGCTTTAAATTGTACGCACAAATTTTATTGTCGTTGCTTCTGCAACTAACAAGCTATTTAATAAGTGTCAAAGTGGTAAAGCTTACTGACTGCAGAAGTGAAAGGGTCAAATCTGTGCATCCAGAAATAAGACTGAGATTTTCCTCTCTTCTCATGAAATGTACTTGCGGCAGGCAGTGTTAAAGTGCTTCCAACTTTCATAGCAACCAGGAGGAGCAGCTCATGAGTCAGCCCAAGGAGGAAATATGTCATTAGCCAGGGAGTTTTCAACATATGCAAAACTGTCGACGTGTCTATGGCATCCAGGGAGGAATTTTTATAATCTTGGTTGTAGTCAGCAGTTTATTGCCACAGTCATGGGTGTGGGCAAGTATCTCAGTGGCTGAGGCTGTGATTGCCCCCAACATCACTGAGTGTTTCGCACTATGGCTCTCATGCTCCTCCTTTTCAAGACAGGAAACAGACGAGACATATTTGGTTTTGATAGCTGCAGGAAAGACCTCGCTAAGTCCTCGTGGTTGTACCTTGAGTTCCTCTTCATTCTTCATATCGCGTTCACCACGCCAAGGAAGGGGTAGGGCTCTTATCTCAGCTTTCTGCAGTTCCAGCCCTCCTGCAACTGAATGAAAACAAACAGAAAGAAAAAAAAATAATCAGCTCTGTAGGTTTTCTTGCCTGTGTAAATTATGCATCACACTCATTATAGGAAAAAGGAAGACGCGGATTTGGAAATCAGTTGTGAGTTTCTCCATATTTCTTACAATTATGCAAGTGTTACAGCTGCATACACAGGGGACTTTCTTTTTTCATGCAGCTTTACACCAAAATAAAGGCCTCAGTTGTTCTAGTTGGTGATTAGGCTCAATATTATGCCTCTGGGAATGGGAGGCACGGGGATTCAGAGGAACAGAAAACTTAATGAGTTCTTTATTTGAAGAAGAAAAAATTTTTTCAAAATGTTTTCCAGAGCTCACAGGAGAGATTCAGAGGCTATTCCTTCTTTGGGAAGATGCAGCTCTTCCAGGTGAAAAAATTAACCCTCGTCTGCTCCCAGGAAACCGAAGGTTTCCTTGCCCTCTGAGCCCACCCTGAGCTGTGGTGCACAATTCTCTCACTGGTTAAAATGCTGACACCTTTACTAGATCCTTTTACTAATATGGCTCATATTGGCATGTCTCCCTGCAGGACTTGGGATTCACAGTGGGATCACTCAGGACTCAATCTTTAGTTGCACAGCAAGCTCTATAAAGACAAGGGATACAACCAGTGAATTTGCATACGCTCACCTTGGAGGGGAGCTTGCTAGTGGTCCATGAACCAGGCTTAGGAGGCCCCTATTTTGGACAGTTTCCTGTGTCCAGTTCTGACCTGAGAACATCACACCTCAGAATGGAAACTGCTGCACCATGAGCTGAAAGGGCAGCGACCCTGCCCAGCAGGAGCAAAAGGGAAATGTTGTTATCTGAAAATATCTTTGGGTATTTGTAATTTTTATGGCTTGTGGTCTTTTTTTCAAATTTGAATATTTTATGAAATGGAATAAATAAAACCAAAACCCAGCCTCAGGACTGCTTGCAGAGCAACTGGGCAGTGGGCAGAGCATCAGTGAGGCTGGGCAGCGAATCCCCACCCTGTCACCCTGAGGCAGAGCCTCCTGCAGCTCCTGGGTCTGTGACATCAGCCTGGGGACAACACTGCAGAGGCCACAAACTCTGACACCAGCTGGCCCAGCACTGGAGCTTCGGGCCAACCTCAGCTCCCAGCGGCCCAGCTGACAGCATGCCCTGCACCCCTGGACTCTTCCATCCCTGCTGCTGGGACACAGCACTTCCAGTGCTGAGGCATCTTGTGGGATAGGGCCACCCAGGAGTGTCTGTTGAAGACGACCCTACTGCCAGCTCTGTCTACCGTAGGAGGTAAAGGCGCGATGCTAAAAGCTACCCATTGTCTTATTTTATCCCAGATCAGGTGTCTCTAATTCAGTGAGCTGTGGTTGGTGCTTCCAAGTGCACTGAAGCCTGCACATAAAAGAGGACAGGCAAAATAATAGTGTTGCAAAATGCTGAGAATAGTATAAGTGGTCACCCCGTGTATCTGGGCTGCTAAGAAAGCTCTTTTGATTAAATTAAACACAGAGCACAAGAAAAATGCTCACATCATACATGATAGTGTCTCTTGGGCTGCCTTATGCTGAGATGAAAAAGAAAAAATTACCCATGCAAAGCCCTCATCATCCATAATCTGCAATGCATTTGGACAGAGGGGGCCATCCTTAACCCAAACCATGTGTGTCTGGCTTTAAAACCAGCATCAGCAAGGCTCAGCCAGCCTGTGTGCCATCCTGCATGTCCTGGATTCGGTGCTTCTCTCCGGGATTCAGCATGTCTTGCCACGTTCACTGCTGAATCACTCTCGCATCAGCAGCATCACCGTGGGCAGTGTTCCCTCTACAAGGCATGCAAGTGGCAAGAACCCCCAGCCCAGCTCTGCTCGAGCTGGCACTGGCACAGGATCTCTGCTAGGATACTGTGTCAGACTTCTGCAGGGCCTTGTGCAACTTTTCTATTTTTTTTTTTTTTTTAATCCCAAATTAAAACTTAAGCTTCAAAGGCATAGAGCTAGGGGGGTCTCTTCGTGCAGACACTGTATTTCCTGGAACAGATCCTTTAATTTTGTGGTGAGACAGAGTTGAAGACATTTGTATTCAAATCCTTATTGAGGCTCTAATGCTCTTTAGTATTGGATATAGGGATTTTAGACTGGAAATGGCACTCTTGACTTTACTACCACCCCAAACAGACAATCAAATTTTAAGCTGCTATTTCTTTCCAGCCTTCTTACACTGTTCCCAACACTCTCCCAGAAACTGTAATTATTCTGCCACATCTACTCTACTAATAAAATTTATTCTGCTCTGTGTTTTGCCCCCTATTTTCTTCTTACGTTTTACACCATCAAATAAAATCAGGGTTTCCATTTGTAAAGTGGTTATCAGCAGCTCAGCTTTTACTTACAGTTCTTTGAACAGGCTACAGGGATTCTAGATGGGTAGAAGTGTAACATAATAGCATATACTGTGGTGCAACCTCCAAGGATCACTTTGTATAGGATGTACCGCAATGCCCTGTCCTTCTAGGAGGGTTTTAGTCCTCCAGATGATAACAGTAGTGGTTCTAATAATTTTTCTGGATGTTAAAAATAGATATGATCTAGTTGATGTTCGTGTCACTCATGCCAGCTCGCCTCACTATTTGCAATCCTCTCTGAACACAGCAGGACTTCATAATCTCCAAGGGCCCTTGTAGAACAGCCCTCACTTAGAGATCTCTCAGAGCTTTACAAGCTCATATTTTGCTGTTGTGTGCCAGCTAAAAATCACAGAGATGTACATCACTGGGATAGTGCAGAGGCAGAAGGGACTTTCAGTTTCCAGTCAAGGTGCATGACCACATCTCTCTAAAACCGTATCCCACTGAAACTTCCCTTGAAGGATTGATTGCATTTAAATTCTCAACTACACACAAAAAATATGATGAACATACACAAAACATTTATTTGAATCTCAGTTCATTCCCAGATTTGCTCATCTTTTTGCTTGTGACTTTAGGAGCAGCAGCATTTGTAGCTATCCAGCAAAGGATTAGGTCTCAAAGTGTCCCTTCTGTGCAGATGTCTGTGCAGATGTCCCTTCTGTGGTGTCTACAGGGTGCCATGCACCCTCTCTGCTCCCAAGTGTGCAGGTTTTTTTCTCAAATGTTCACACCTGAGCTGGGATGCACAGGCAGAGCCTTCCACTCACAAACGCTTAATTCCCAGGCTCGGGGCCCAGGAGAGTTTTGTTTCATAGCCTGATATTGCTCCTGCTCTTGAAAAAAACCCACATTAAGGATGAGCTGGAAATTTGCTGTACGTTCCCTTCACAGAAAGCATGGACTCCAAAAAATTGAGGTGGGGAGGCAGAAATCAAAGGTCATTCCCAAAAGTCAGCAAGACAACCTCCATTTATATAGTCTCAAATTCCCTCATCTAAAGCTAATAACAAACACCAAATAAACAAGATGGACACACCCATTCATTGCTTTTAGATCTAGGGAATACTACAAAGAAGTAGTTAGGAATATTATTTCATATTCTCAGCATGTGGATGCACATTGCTTTGGGAGCAGCTTTCCATGAGCACTCCAGCTAACAAGCTTGCTGCAGAACGATCTTTGAGCAGCAAATTTTTAAAAGAAGCCCTTGAAAATATTCCCCAGAAGAAAATTTGGAATAACTAATCATAAAAATCTTCACACTGGACACCTAATTTAGGAGCTCTGATCATCCTTTCAGCAGCTAGAAATATAACACTTCATCTGCTTGTCCAGTCAGAGCAGATGTGTGTGACTCACAGCCACCCGCTCGGGAAGTTATTGCTCCCTGAAAGTCAGAGTTGGATTGCAGAAAAATCATAAGTGAGAAAGAGTGTGTGTGTGTGTGTGTGTGTGTGTGTGTGTGTGTCAGGGGGTTCCCTTGCGTACATTATTTACTGTGAATTACTTAGGCAGCCCTAGATTTTATTTGATAATTTTTCCCTTGATGTGCCCCATATAAAGGAAATGTTAGCATTAACCAAAGCTAATCCATGGCACGGTCGGGAAGGGGATTATTTTGCCAATGATTACTTTCTTTAAACGTGGAATTGTGATCAAAGCAATATGGTTCTGATTTTTTCCTGTATTTTTTAGCTTTGTAGTATGGTTCTTCTTAATAGTAAGTTACTGCTATAAGCACGCTGTGAATTTCCAATATAGCAAAGCTTTAATAATTTGCAGCCATAATTGTTCCTGCTTCAGTCTCCAATTCAATTTGATGTGGAATTCCCATCTCCCAACACAAAGCTTAACTCAACGGTATCTGTGTGAGACAGACTATGAAACTAGTCTGGTATAATGGACTTCATTAAAGGATAGGCAAATTATTTTCATCTGTAATCTATTTTAAATGGAAAAGAGGGCTTTTGAATAAATATTTTTCCTTCAAAAGTTATTAATTTCTGTGGGAAAAGAGGGATGGTTATTGTTGCTCATTTTTCCCTTTGTTTTCATAAATGGTTTGAAAATTATTTTCTGGTTGAATTATTTCTTTGGTTCAAAAAACAAATATTTAAGCCAGGAATGGAAACATCATCTTTTTATTCTCCTGAAGAGTCAAACTGTGCAAGGAGCTTTCACTTTTTTGCCTGCCCATCTGTAACCTCTTCCGATGATAAAACCTGAGCTTGTGGGCTGACACAATGAGCACCACCCACCTTCAGACCTTGGCGGCCATTCCTTTGCCTACGTGCAGATTTGGTAGCCTCAAACCATTTTTTAGTCAAGCCTGAAAGTAGCAAGCTATGCAATTTTAGCAAAGATATTTGTTTTTAAGAGGCAGCCTGCACTGGCACAAGACCATTAACCCTAACATGAACACGCACAGTCTAATAACAGGTTGGTGGAGAGTCTTATTCAAGCCCTGCACATGGCAGTAAATTACTCCCTTGATGAATAAAAGCCATTACTTAGTATTTAGCATCATAGCAAGAAGCCTCTTCGGCCTGTTCCTAACAGAGATGTTACAGTTAATTTAGTGTAAAATTATCACCTGCTGTACAATAAAACAACAAACTGCAGTCAAATAATCTCTTAATAAATGAAAATGTGTAATAAACTGTGTCAGCACCGCAGAGACTTGGCAAGGCTGAATACCCTAAAGGTACCAATCCAAACAAATTCACCATACAATATATGGCCTATGTCATTTCTGGTTCTTATCAGGGATGATTCATCTGGGATTCCTTGGCACTGAGTTTTACCTCTAAAGGCCAGGCAGTTATTACAATGATATAATTTCTGCCACATTAATTAAATATAATACCTGAAAGCCCCTTTATAGGGATCTATAAATTCGTTGTAAACACATGCTGTGGATGAGCATATGTAATCTACCAAGTGTAATAAACGTTCAGTCAACTTCCTCTTCTTGCAGAGAAGGGAGAGGTTGAATGATCACTGTGCCAAAAAGGTAAGCCTAATGTTGCTTCTGTCACTCATTATGATAAATATATATATGCACATTTATAAATATATATATACACAGACAGAGACCCATGTGTCTGACAGAGAGGAGAAGGCAGAGGGAGCGTGAGTCTGCGGCGGCAGCCTGAAGGACATGTGGCTGCTCTTGCTGCCTGCAGGCTGTCAGCTCCAACATTGGTGTACATGGATAATAAAGGCCCCCCCAAGTCACTGCAGTCCAGCACAGTCCTTTTGCTGGCCTCTTCTGACTGCAGGAGAGCCGTGGATGTGATGTGTGTTGCCGAAAATCTATCTTTGCTGGGTATTCAAATGCTCTTTTTACCTAGTATGTAACAAAAATCAAACCAAAACAAAACAAAAACCACACACACAAACACACAAAAAACCCCCCACAAACAAACAACAAAAACCCACACACACACACACACACAAAAGAGGGGAAACCAAAAAAGGAAAGGAAAGCAAAGGGAACAAAAGCCGGGCAACACTTTTTGCAGTCAGCCCAGAGTTTGAGCAGCTTGTCCGAGATCCAGGCTGAGCAGCATCAACAGACTTT